TTCAGTTTGTGCCCTTTGCCCCTTGTCCTGTTGCTGGGCACCAGTGGAAAGAGTCTGGCCCCATCCTCCTGACCCCCACCCTGCAGATATTTAGAGGCATTTCTAAGGTCCCCTCCCTGCCTTCTCTTCTCCAGGCTGAACAAGCCCAGCTCCCTCAGCCTTTCCTCGTAGAAGAGAGGGGTGGGAGTTAGACGGGAAGGACCATCAGCAGGAGCTCAGAGCACGAAGCCAGCTACCACATAACCAGTTAGAAAGGCCATAACAAGTTCTCTCCTCTCAGATAATCTCGGTGAAGTGGAACAAACTCTTGCCCTGGTCGCTCCACACCGTGTGGCAGATGTGAACAGCACCATCCAGAGCTGGTGGGTAACTCAGGGCTTGCTTTGCAGACAGCAGTGTAATGTTTTCCTAGCAGCCACTCGCTTGCTCTCTCGGGTCAAGCCGTTGCTACCCAGATGTAGAATACAGCGGTGACACAAGTTATCTGCCCTGTGCAACCACTTCTACATTCTCACTCAGTGAGAGACGTCACCTCCGTTGCGTTGGTGCTGCCTCGCAGGAGGGAGGAGAAGCAAGATCAGGCCTATTCGCACCAAGTGCCATCCCTTCACCTGGTTATTTCTTTATTCCAGCCCAGGGCATTCTCAAAATTACAGATTCCCCGAATATGAAGATTATCTTTCCCCGAAGTGCGGAGCAGTGCGGTAAGGATTCACACCGCCATGTCCCGTGGACTCTAGGACCATTCTGGATTTGTGCATCCCTGGGTACTTCAGCCTCCCCCAGCGGGGCTGAACCCAGCAGTTGGCTTATGCAAATGTTTTTACTCTGATTTAATTTTCATCCTGCACAATATGTCATCTGCAGCGTGCAGAAAAGCGAAATTCTTCCCTTAAATGTATAAATATACTGTAATGGCAGTTACTTAACCCAGATATGTTTATAAATAGCTCAATGTTTTTTTGGAAAATGCGAGCACGCTGTCGCAGGCTACAACTCCATCCACAAGCAGTAACGTAGCCCATGGTTTT